CTGGAATGTTGCCATTTCCGGTTTATTAGTTGTCATCAGCATGCCATACTCAACTCCAGGTGTTGCGACACCCTAGGCTTGAATCCACGATCAGTTCGTTAGTAGTCCAACAACCTGACTACTTGAACCTTGCTCAGTAGTCTGTTTTTGGATGTGTAATTCCCCGACATGCATGGAGGACGGGACATGTAACTGATGCAGAGATGCGTCGCTGAAGGTAACCTTTCCGGCTTTGACAGTTAGAAGACGGGAGAGCGGCTTGCTGGGGTCGCCTGAAGTTGGGCGCTGAGCTGTCGCAGCCGCACCTGGGTTTAACTAGGGTTGCTAATAAGCTCTGCGGGTGTGCGAACAAGAAACTGGCCCAGGTGAGAAAAAAACTCCAGAGGTATCACACGAGTAAATACTACCTACCTTCTGTCGAAAGATACGATCGATAACAGTCAGCAGGGAGTCCGTGACGAAGCACATTGCCTGAGCGGTGCAGCCAGGGGGCTAGAAGAGAAAAGATAAAACATTTGTTAGAAATGATTTGGCACAGACGATGCTAAAGTGACTGCCCTCGTCCCGGAACTCTCAAGGACGATAAGCCATGGTAATAGTGGCCCCTAACCTCGGAGTGCAGGTGACCTCTTGCAAAATTCCAGGAAGGGCGCTCCGGTCCTGGCCTTTCGCTAAATTCCAAACCTAAGCAACTTTAATCCGTGCCCTAACCAAAAAATTTTAGCTTCCCCATTTGTCTGGGATTTTAGTCATATAGGAAGTATAACTTACTCAAACCCAAATCAGCAGGAAAAACTTTAGTACGGCCAACGCTCTGCCAATTGAACTATGAAGGCACGCCGAGAACCGTGAATTTAATCACACTTGGGTCGATTTGACCGCTCAGCCTACTGCACGTATGAAATCCACCACTACGGATACGGTAAGCTGACTACTCAGGCAGGATTTCCTAAGCAATCATCTAGAATTCACCAGAATGCTTACTAGGCTCACTTGATTGTTAGAGGGGGTTGACATAGTTGCTTGATTCAGTTGACCCAATTGTAGAAAAATCGGGGCCTTGGTGGGATGTGGGTTCGAATCCCACCGAGGCAACTGAAGTTCGGATTTGGCCTGATGATTATAGTGCACTAAGAACAACCACTACTTAGCCATTACAAATGTTTTACCCTACTGAGAAAACAGGCATGTATTTTGCTGTGACGCTGCAGGATGTAACTGCGAACGGTTCGGTTGCCACTGTGGCTCCCTCAGCGTTTCGCTGGTGTTTTATGGTATATACTCCAATAGAACAACATTACCGGAGAATACAATGAGATGACAATTTCTGGCATATCAGGTATCATCAGATAGCCACGCCCACAGCCCCCTACCGTCAGAAGCATCCGCTAGAATCTACCAGGTACAGAGTCACGGCCCGAATATGATTACTTGGAAACGTGCGTTGGCCGATTTGAGACTGATTAATACGTCTTTTGTGCCCGTTTAAAGCTGTTTGTCACGAGCTGCATTAATCCCCCCCTCCCTGGCTATGTGTGTCTCGATGAACACACTCCTTCAGGTTCTCTCGGGAGAAAACTCGTCAAAGTTTGCTAAGTGGGGGGATAGGTGGAAAGAAGTGACTTACCCTGAGTCGAGTTGCAAGCAGCACGCTGATCGGATTAAATAACTGGGCAGCAACCGCGTCGGAGAAG